TGTCAATGTTGAGATTGAGGTGGAGGAGGAGTATGGGAGGGAAAAGAAGCGGCGAAGAGTGTCGACCCATTTGGATTCGCTGGCCATCACGGGCACGGGCTCAACCAGCAGAGTCAGCGCGATTGTCAGTGCCAGTGTCACGGGTATGACGAATGTGGGTACTGCTGCTGTTGAACTGTTGGATGAGGAGGCACTGGTGCGATCGAAAAAGAGACTGCAGGCCTTTAGTTTTCTGTGAGTCCCTCTGCCTCGTGCTTCTCGGGTTATTTCCTTCCATACTAACGCCGAGTTTTTTTCTATTTTTGTAGACGATGAGTATGGCACTCGATCTACAACACGATCTAATCGATCTTGGCTACACTTGGAGGTCACCACGCTGGACGGATTGCTTGCGTTTTCCCTGTATAATCCATGTAATTTACGAGTGTTGCAACTTGACAGAGGCCCCCGCAGAGCCCATTTACGAGGGAGTTGTCGGAAAAAAATGAATAGAGTACTTGCTTTGTTTTGGCGAGCTCGGTGTGATCGGGGTGGATGAGGCAACTCGGCAGCAGTCCTTAAATACCCCTCGTTGGTCACTCTGGACCAACATCTCTCTCCCCGCCCCCTTGAGAACGGCTACTACAGCGACGACGACGACGACGACGCAGTCACCATCAACAACGACGACGGCGAGGGCAACTTGAAGCGACGGTTCCTTGTCCGTCCAACTACGTAGCCCACCACCACATCCACTACTTTTTTTCTTTTCTTTTATTTTATAGACAAATCTTTGTCAATCTTTATTCTTATCTCTATCCGCATTTTATTTTCTTGGAATTCGACATTGCAATAGACTCGGACTGGTGGCGCGCATTACAACCATGATCAAGTACGCTCGACCCCTCCGCCTTTTGCTACTGCTAACGAATACATCTCTTACAGACTTCGATTATCCAACTATGTCTCGCCAGGTGTCCATCTCATCGTTACCTTTCTCCTCCAGGTCTCGCTCCCCTCTCACCTCCTCTACCGCACCGTCCAACACTGCTTTCCCGGTATCGACCGTCACCTCGGATGGGGTTGCTACACCGTGCTCGGGTCACTCTTAGTGTTCCTGTTGCACATTGTCTATACCCACTTGCAGACGAGTTATCACCTCGTACGCGCGCGCCAGTTGAACGCGGAGATGATCCCGAGCGTTAGTGGGCGCTGGCCCGGTAACCTTGACG